AGTTACAAAACAAACTCCCTCTGAAGTCTATGCCATGTCTTTAAAATCCCTCTCTCTTTCTTACAGGTTTCTCTTGCACGAGCTGGAAGGAGAGGAAAGCGGCGTTACTACAGACAACAGAACACACAAGAAGAGCGAGTTGTGAAGTCCTTTAGAGCCCTGTCCATAGGGATCCTGCCTCCCTTTCCGTCTCCCACTCCTCTGCCAGTTTTAACCCTACCTTCTTATCTGCTGTGCTGCCACAGGCTCTCCCCAGGGTGCCCCCCACTGGGGATTAGGAGCGGTGCTTGCGCTACGGCACGGTTCAGGAGATGAAGGCTACTACTTCTCGCATGCTCCTGGTAAAGGTGAGAGGAGGAAAAGGTCCGTTCTTTCACCTGAAGGTCCCACCCAGAGTGATCCCCGAGTGAGCAGAAACAACTCCAGGGGAAGGACAGTCCCTCCAAGGGGGATTTAGCATCAGCCCTCCAGGAAAGCAGCTGTAAGTGACTTCTGCAGGTCAGGCTGCAAAATAATGGCAAAGCTTGGCCTAAAAGCTAGGGACCACACCACACTGCACTGCTCCGGAGTGTTGCTTTCCTCCCTTGAGGGCTTCTGACTTCCAGCCCTGTCCCTTAATATCTCTTTTACCGGCATCTCTGATTCTGGAGCGTTCAGAGTCCGTTTCCGAAGCCCAGAGTACATGTTAACTGTCTGGAAACATCTCCAGCATGTCTTCAGCTGAAACTGAACCTCCAGGCCTCGGGCCCTCTCGCTGATGAACCCCAGCACTGCAGCTCCCAACCACATCTCTGGACCAGGCAACGCTTGGTTCTCAGCGAGCCAGCTCTGGCCCTGAAAGCGGTAGAGCTGGGTCAGCATGGCACTGGGCCCAGGAGAACCAGTCTGGCCGCGGGGTGAGAGGAACATGATTATACTGCTTTTTGCACTTGAGCAAAACAGCGCTGCCTGTGCTTTGTGTACATACTGGCTCATGTGGAGTTAATCTGGAACTATCCTGCACGTACTGCGTTACGTGTGACAAAACTGTCCTTAACTTCCCTGCCTGAGAAGGCAAACTAGTCTCAGCAAGTTACCATCAGGCTTGCACAAATCCCCACGCATGCTAGCAGCATCACATATTGTCTCTTGCGGCTTGAGCTCCCACTTTCAGGAAGAGTAAAAGATACAAGTCTAGATGCAAAGTTCAGTTCTTCCTGGATCTGCTGCCAACTCCCCAGCTCTCCCACTTTCCTCAGCTTGGGCAAGGAGAACAGAAATAAGACCCCCCCACGGCCGTACTGAACGCTCCTGACAACTCTGCCAGGCCAGTTCCTCAGCAATTTTCACTTACAGAAGCAGCATCTTGCTATCGACTGCTCCTAACTGAGAGCAGACAAAGCTAGCGTTGCATTAAGGAACATTCACAGCTTCTTTTTGAGGCAAGCCCCGACCAAGAGACAAAAGACAAGGACACCACCCAGGACAATACTCTGCTGCCTCCAGAGAACAACGCTGACTAGTGCTGCTTGCTAGATACCACTGTTCTGTTTGTAACACGCAGCTAACTTAACAAAGAGGACTGGATAAAAGCGTGGAAGCCAAGAGCCTGCCAGGTTACTCACTATCACGTGTAACAACTGCCAAACTCAAGGGAGAACATCTGCCATCCTCCAGCTAGCTTGACAGTTTTCTTGGTTTGGGGTTTGAGGTTTTGCGGGAAGGGGAGGGTTGTTTTCATCTTTACCATGCAGAATGCAGGAAAAATGAGACTCTCTTGTTTTTAATCAAATCCGTTCCACCCAAAAGCATCCACAGACGATCAACAGCCCCAGTCCTGCCCTCTTTAGCTTTGTTGTGTGATCTAGTTAACTGCATTTTATGAAGGAAGGAGAAGACAACACAGCACATGACTCGTTAGAAGGACCCTTCATGGATGCTCATGTCCTCCAGCGCTGGGTAAAAAAATCTTTGCCTACGAATACAGTCTCACAGAATTCAGCAGGCTTGACTGGAAGGAGAGCGTATCTGCAAGAACATAGCTGTGAGCGTAAGTAAGGGCGAGGAGAACTATTTTGTGCAACTCAATGAGGCATATAACGGGGCGCGTTTTCACTGAGGCTCAGAGATGAGAAATTTTGGAATTACCCTAGAACGCGTCCTAGAAGACTACTGTGAAAAAGATCAGCTCAAGGAACGTCTTGCAAAGAACAGCAGACCAAATTATCATCTAATTCTCCAATTTCTATCAAGCACGGGTCTCCTAGATACTCTGGGAAGAGCTTGGAAAAGCCTTCCACATTTTGTAACGAGCAGAGCAGCACTACAGAAGACACTCACTATGTTCATGAGGGTGAGGAGGTAGTTTTGCACATGTTCTTTGCCGTGGAATCGGACGACAGAGTCATCCACACCTAGGAGCACCTCAATGTTGTAGTCGTCGTCTCCTGCGTGCCTGCGCCGCCTCAGGGTTTCGTTCAGTTGCTGCTCTACGCTGCTGTACAGGGAACTCAGGTCCTCGAGGCCCCCAAGAAGAGACTCTGCAAAGAAAGAGTAAGACATAAACACGCATTCCAACTCTGCTTCAGAAACATCCACCCACACAACATCCTCACCTATATAACCACCACTTCCTTGGAGAAAATAAATCAGGAACAGGGAGAAAAGAGATTATTCCAGGGGCCGAAGGGTGGAGGAATCACCAGGCACCCAATGAAAAAACGCATTAACTACATAGTTCTGTAATACATCACATAGTTCTTACTTCCAGCACAAAAAGTCTCTCACAAAAACTCTACACCGTAGTAGTGTACAGGAAGGAGAACTTAAACATTTAAATTCCAAAACAAATAGTTAAATTCCAAATATTTAAATTCCTGACCCGGAATTTCCCCCTCCTCTGCAACGTTAGGCATGTCACAGACTGCCATGGACGTGGGATGCCTCAGCATTCACTGGCGATGCTGTGCTAAGCTACCTTGTGGCTTTGCCACTCCAAAATAACGCCATCACCTCAAATTCAGGCGGAAAAGTTAACACATCGCTGAGTTGCATGTATCTCCCTCATACCCAAGCAGTGGAGCAGCTCTGAATACAGTAAAGGAACAGGTGGGGAGAAGCAAGAATTTCTTCAACTTACTGTTCTCTGAATTCTTTGTTTAAAAAAAATAGGTGTCTGAATAGCCTATGCTGTGAATATCACAGAAAATTACAAGGGTCCTTCTAATGAGATGGGTTAATGGGCAGACTTCAGGTGAACCATTCTGAATTGGCTTTTAAGGCCATGTGTTTAATAGCCTATGTCGGAAACAACCAAAAAGCTGTATCACTGCCTTGGGACAGGAAAGCAAAACATCACCATGGATTTCTGACAGGAAAAAAAGTCACAGCTCTAGATCACTTATTGCTTCTTCCAAAACCAAGGCCAGCACATCCACATGCTCTAAACAGCACTAGACAGGCCTGTCTGAAACACCTTACAGCACACACCATGAGCTAAGACACTGCAGGCCTCACTAGGAATCGGACTGTTCTCGAGTCCAGCTCTGTCATGCAGCCAGGGAGCACCTCCATTCCCCCTACTCTTCCATCCATGAAAAAAATAGGATGATCGAACCCTTAAATACTCAAGGAGCTTCCTGCTCTGTGAACCCAGGGAAAGCAACCGGCAAAGAGCACGGTCCTGCCTTCCGCCAGCGTTGGCTTCTATCAGCAACGGGGGCATCTCCCCCTAAAACAGCACAGCTTTCCACCCTTCTTCTCTGCTCTGGAGTTGGGAGGGAAATTGCATTTCCCTCCTTGCTGAAAGCCAAGCTTACAAGTTTATGAACTGGCCCTTCACGTGTTTTCAGGCAAGTCTCCCAATCACCTGGACAGAAGTTTTGCTTGGGGAAGGACAGCAGGACAAGGGCCAGGGTTGCAAAACATGCTGGACAACCATGCTGTAACGGAGCAGATTCAACTACTGGCTCAATTAGCTGGGAAGTCTCTCCCTGCTTGGTACCTCAGCGTTCAGCAACACATAAATAACTCTCCCCAGACCCCACATCCAACAGCAAGGTTTTCCCCAGTTGTTTGCAGAACCTTAGCCATTGCTGTGGTGGAGAGACCAGGCCTGCAAACAGCTTTACAAGTCAACCGCAAGTCCTCTCACACTCAAGAAGGTGAACCCTGCGACAGCACACAAGCGGGAAATATATTACACAAGCTCTAGCTCTAAACATTGCTACAGCTGGCAAAGCTGCCGAGTGCAGGGTCCAACGGGAACATACCAGTAACGCGGTCATATCTCTACACCTGCTGCGTGGATGGAGCAGCTTGAAAGCACTTCAGAAAGGACCAACTATCTGCTCTTCTGCTCCGTGCAGCACCTTTGGTTTGGCTGTCACTTCCCTTCTTAAAGAGGTGGCTTTGCGGTTCAAAGGAAGAGGAGAACCCCTTTTTTGCCTGTCGGTGAGCAAGCAGTGGGAGGCAGAAAGGATTTCTCCTCCCCCCGCCCCCGCCTGTAATACGGAGCCTCTTTCTGCACAGAGGCCGCAGTGACTATGCCAGTATTTTCCATTTGAGCACCCCCAGAATTGTTTCAAGTATACAGTCCCAACAAAGCAAGAAAAAAAACATCCTCAGGCTTGGTAGTGACTGTTTCTGGACAAAACCTGGACAAGATTTAGAACACATGCACACACCCCTGGAAACGCTTTCCAGTGGAGCCTCCCACCCCCTGCAATGCAACTTGCCTATTTCTTTCTGCAGGAACCCCAAATCCCCCCCTAACTGGGCTCACTGGTAAAAAGCAACCGCTTCACTCACCCCAGTGTGCAGCATGTTCCAGGAAATGCATCAGGATCTTACAGGCTGTTAAGTAGCACCCCGTCCTGTTACTACTCCCTACAGAGTTTCTCCAGTGCTGACTGGTTTGTTCCCTGTTTGTCCCCTGGTCCTGGCTCAACAGGACAGGCACCATTTAAGTACACGGCTCCTTAACAGTTGAGAAACATGAGCATGGGGAAACAACTGCTGACTCTAAGGCTGATTTGGGCTGCTTATTAGCCAGTTATTACTTAGCCAGCCTCATTCTCTGCAGTGTCTTTCCCCACACCTGCTCCGGGAAGCAAAGCCATGCATTCCTCTCCCTAAATGCACTCCCTGTAAGCTGGTATGCCCTCTCCAAAAAAGCCAGGGTAATAGGAGCGGTCCATCTATTTTGTTTGGTTGTTTGCTTTCCATAAGCCAGCACTTGAGTGACTAAATCTAACCATCAGAGAGAAACCCAGGATACGCATACTAAGGATAACTCTGCTTACAAACGCTGCAATCTACATCCATTGCCAACACTTAATACAAAGTAAGGGCAAGTGGGACGACTGCCTGAAACGTGAGAGCAGCAGAGCAAAGTGAGATCGCTACGTTCCTATATTCCAGTCATTAAATCACCTTCTTCCGGTCACTATTCGTAATTCAGCAATTAGTCGGGCACTTGGGTAAATTTTAGAAGAGCTCACAGGGACAGGGAACCTCTTTCCAGGATTCAAATCATGTACATGTTCCAAATACCTCAAGCAACTTCAAGGTATTAATGAATCCCCATTTCT